TCCTCCCCTTCCTCGGCGCACCGAGATCGTCACGGGGAGGAAACACATCCAGGGCCGCGACCCCACGGACATACGGGGCGTGCTCGTGCGGATATGCCCCGCGCGGAGCGCATCCGTGCGACCGCGCGTCCACGGGATGGCGCCCAGGCGTCCAGACCGCGAGGGCGTGGGGAGAGAGGAGGAGAGGAGGAGGAGGAGGAGGAGGAGGAGGAGGAGGAGTGAGGAGGAGGAGGAGGAGGAGGCGGAGGAGGAGGAGGAGGAGGAGGAGGGAGGAGAGGAGGAGGAGGAGGAGGAGGAGGAGGAGGAGGAGGCGGAGGAGGAGGAGGAGGAGGAGGAGGAGGAGGAGGAGGAGGAGGAGGAGGAGGAGGAGGGGAGGGAGGAGGAGGAGGAGGAGGAGGAGAGGAGGAGGAGGAGGAGGAGGAGGAGGAGAGAGGGAGGAGGAGGAGGAGGAGGAGGAGGAGGAGGAGGAGGAGGAGAGGAGGAAGGAGGAGAAGGGAGGAGGAGGAGGAGGAGGAGGAGGAGGGAGGAGGAGGAGGAGGAGGAGGAGGAGAGGAGGAGGAGGAGGAGGAGGAGGAGGAGGAGGAGGAGGAGGAGGAGGAGGAGGAGGAGGAGGAGAGGAGTAGGGGAGGAGGAGGAGGGGAGGAGGAGGAGGAGGAGGAGGAGGAGGAGGAGGAGGAGGAGGAGGAGGAGGAGGAGTAGGAGGAGGAGGAGGAGGGAGGAGGAGGAGGAGGAGGAGGAGGAGGAGGAGGAGAGGAGGAGGAGGAAGAGGAGGAGGAGGAGGAGGAGGAGGAGGAGGAGGAGGAGGCGGAGGAGGAGGAGGAGGAGGAGGAGGAGGAGGAGGAGGAGGAGGAGGAGGAGGCAGGAGCAGGAGCAGGAGGAGGAGGAGGAGGAGGAGGAGGAGGGTGAGGAGGAGGAGGAGGAGGAGGAGAGGGCAGGGAGGAGGAGAGGGGAGGAGGAGGGAGGAGGGAGGAGGGGAGGAGGGAGGAGGGAGGAGGGAGGAGGGAGGAGGGAGGAGGGAGGAGGGAGGAGGAGGAGGGAGGAGGAGGAGGGAGGAGGGAGGAGGGAGGAGGGAGGAGGGAGGAGGGAGGAGGGAGAGGGAGGAGGGAGGAGGGAGGAGGGAGGAGGGAGGAGGGAGCAGGGAGGAGGGAGCAGGAGCAGGAGCAGGAGCAGGAGGAGGAGGAGGAGGAGGAGGAGTGTCGTTGCTTGTGCAGAGAGGACTTCAAGCATTGGCGATGCTTCCTGACTTGCCTACAAGCCCACCAGGCAATGTGCTAAGAGCCCTCTTGGAGCTAGCGCCGGATGTTCTCAGACCACGTGTTGCTGCGAAGGCTTTGGTTTCCTTCATCCTTTTCACGTTCTCGAGCGCCGCCTGTGTTCTGAAAACATCATGTTGATCAAGAACATGTCATGGTACAGCCGGACCGAGGTAGAAGATCGAGGTCGGTTCGGGGAGGGCCCTCCAGTGCCCTTCGTGCTTGTCGGATGTTCTTGTGCATCCTGGGGAGGGCGCCCTTGGACGTTCCGTGCGCTTTGGCTCGCTGGGGTCACATGTTCTCGAGGGGTGTTCTTTTTGCCCAGGTCCGCCTGGTGGCCCTGTAGAGCCTGGACGGTCGGCCCCGTGCCCAGAGGACTGGCGGGTGCCCGATTCGGCGATCTCCCACCTGGTGGAGCGCCTGTCCTCGGCGTCGCCGTCCTGCGCCAGCGGCGCCAGGCGGCTCAGTCTGGCCGGCGGCGCGACGCTCGCGAGGGCCCCGCCGCCCCTTTGCAGCAGCGCCCGCCAGCCTGAGAAGATGATCGACGTCTGGATCTACTTTACCGATTCGGAGGACACCCGTCGGAGAGCAGAACGAAGTTGCAGGATCATGATCTTTCGGAGCCTTGTGGGGAGTTCTTGGGTCGGCGCCGGGCACGCCCTGGTGGCGGCTCCTGCGCCGCCCTCTGGCGCGCTTCGCGCGCCAGGGAGGAGGGTCTGGTGCCCATCCACGACATCCGCGCGGACCTCCGATAAATTATTTTTATGCAGGTGTTTATTCCTGCAGGTGTTGGTATGAGTACATGTTATACTGGTTCGAGGTCTGCCGACGTTATCGCCGGCACTCGGCAGTTTTTCCTGTCTCGGGATGCATCCCTGCAGCTGCGCCTCGCCAAGAGCGTTCCTGGGGTACTATATTAGTGAATGTAATTGGTTTTAGGGTTAAAACAAATGGTCGCAGCCACGCAGAGGGCGTGCGTAGCGACGCCCCAAATGCTCGGTCTCCAGTACTTCTACGTGGCGGCGCCCCCGCAGGCACGCAGAGGGCACGCGTGGCGACGGGGGCGTCGCCACGCAGAGCTTCTAAAGACCAAACCGTTTGAAAACCGATTGTTTCCACTACTGAAGTACCCAGATCGCCCCGAAGGGCCGCTGGAGGCCCGATCAGACTCCATAATGCTCTGACGATCCGGTGTGGCCCCATGCTTGCGCGGCACCGCCGTGCATGCTGGCGCAGCCGATGAGCAAGCTTTCGTGGCGGCAAAGCTAAATGCTCCTCCTCCTCCTCCTCCTCCTCCTCCTCCTCCTCCTCCTCCCCCTCCTCCTCCCCCTCCTCCCCCTCCTCCTCAGCCTGAGCTAAACCCTAGGCGATTTCAAGTCGTTTCCCAGCCTGATGCTGACGGATCTTCGGTTGCTGCTCGAGGTGGCCTTGGCCCAAGGTGCCCCCAGGATTTCCAAGGAGGATCCCGCGGCCTCCAGAGCGCCCCGCACGAGGCCCAGGGGAACCCCAGGGGCGCCGAAGTGAAGCGAAAAGTTGGGGACACATTGGCCTCGGCACACCTTCCCAGACATGCGATGTCTTTACTTTTCCAGCACGGGGTCCCCGGAAGTGCCGACCCTTTCCTTGAGGCCGGCTCTCATCCCGGGCCGATGTTTCACGGTCGTGGGCCTCAGCGAGAGCCCTCTGCGGCCCAGAAAGGGGCAGACTCCCGCCACTTCTTTTCGTGCACGACGCGAGCATGCCTGGGCTTCGCAATCCCTCAGAAGGCGAAAACCCACCGCCACCCCCAGTCCCGACGCCCATCCCCGAGCCGGCGGTTCAAGGGGCCGGGACTGGGGGTGGGGGCGGGTTTTCTCCATGCCTGGACCCCGAAAAGCCGCCCCCACCCCCAGTCCCGACTCCTTGAATATCGCGGGTTCGGGGGTGGAGTCGGGACTGGGTGTGGGGGTGGGTTTTTTTACCAGCCTCGAACGTATCCCTATCCCTAAGATTGACACGCCAGAAGGCGATGACAATCTTGGGGATTCGCCCTCAAAAAGCAAGGGAATCCCTAAGATTGGCATCCTGATGAGGAGATGCCCAGCATAGGGATATAATAGGGATATGTTCCAGGCTGGTAAGGGATGGAGTCGGGACTGGGGGTGGGGGTGGGTTTTCGCCTTTTCAACCCCCGGCGATCCTCGAGGACCACTTGCGGGTCCGCGTGCCCCCGTCGCTGCGGCTCGGGCCTCTGCCGGGGGCCGCCGGCCCGCGGGCCGCCGGCCCCGGGGCCAGCGGCCGCGGCAGCCGGCTGCTCTCCCCGAGCCAGTGGCGGCCCGAGTCGCTGAAGGGCCTGATAGAGGGGATCTGCGAGATAGAGGTGGATCGGCAGAGGCTCGAAGGGATCGGGCCGGGCGAAAGGGGGGGATTGGGAAAGGGGGGGTGCGAAAGTTGCTGCGTGCAGCTGGTTTCGGCCTCACCGAGGGGCCCATGCCTCGATGCATGGCCGCCTCCGGCGCCGGGAGGCGCCGGGAAAATCAGACAGAGGTGGATCGGCATGGGGCTCGAAGAGCAGAGGAGGAAGAGTAGGGGAACAAAAAGTGACATAAACATAAAAGCTCGGAGGTCCGCGCGGATTTCTCGGATCCGCGCTGGGGCCCCCCGGCGGCGCCTCCGGCGCCGCCCCTGGCGCGCTCCGCGCGCCAGGGAGGGGCGCCGGAGGTGGATCGGCAGAGGCTCGAAGAGTCGGGGGTGGACAGAACCCCCAACAGTGACACGTCGATTAGTGAATTGTCCGTTTTCGGTTCTCGAGAGGGCGCCGTGGCCGTCATTTACCAGGCTTGCGCCCGCCAGGTTTGGGTCTCAGGTCGTTTTCACTAAACCACTCAAGGGGGGTCTGTCCATCCCCGAGAAGGGCCTGATAGAGGGGATTTGCGAGATAGAGGTGGATCGGCAGAGGCTCGAGGAGATAGAGGAGGAAGAGGCTCGAAGAGGTAGAGGCTCGAAGAGGCTCGAAGAGGAAGAGGCTCGAAGAGGCTCGAAGAGGCTCGAAGAGATAGAGGCTCGAAGAGGCCTGATAGAGGGGATCTGCGAGATAGAGGTGGAACGGAATTGGCCGTTTTCGGTTCGCGAGAGGGCGTCGCGGCCGTCATTTTTGCGGGTCCAGGTCCGTCGGTTTCGGTCCCAGGCCGTTTTCACTAAGGGGAGGTCTGATGATATAGATAGAGGTGATAGAGGTGGGTCGGCAGAGGCTCGAAAAGCAGAGGAGGAAGAGGGCGTCCCGCCCAGAATTTTGCGGCGAATCCCGCGGCGGCGACGAGGGCCTTCCAGGAGGGCCCCCCAGAGGCGAAGCCGAGGGAAGGGGCATCCCGGCGTCACCGCCTTCTTTAGGGGAACAAAAAGTGACATAAACATAAAAGCTCGGAGGTCCGCGCGGATTTCTCGGATCGGCGCTGGGGCCCCCCGGCGGCGCCTCCGGCGCCGACCCTGGCGCGCTCCGCTGGCGCGTTCCCCTAAAGAAGGCGCTGACGCCGGGATGCTCCTCCCTCGTCTTCGCCTTTGGGGGGCCCTCCTGGAAGGCCATCGTCGCCGCCGCGGGATTCGCTGCGAAATTCTGGGCGGGACGCACTCCAGGGGAGGTCCGGAGAGCAACGAAGTCGGCACCTCTTGGTTCCCCCAATACCTCAGGTAGTTAATCCCTTTCGGCAAAAGGATACAACTTCCCGCACCTGGAAGCATTATCCCGGCACCCGCCGTCAGCAGGAGGAGGAGGAGGAGGAGTTGGAGGAGGAGTAGTAGTAGTAGGAGGAGGAGGAGGAGGATAGTGGTAATGGTGATGGTGATGATGTTGATGCTGATGCTGATGTTGATGCTGCTGCTGCTGCTGCTGCTGCTGATGATGATGATGATGATGCTGATGCTGATGCTGATGCTGATGAGGATGGTGATGGTGATGGTGATGTTGATGTTGATGATGATGATGATGATGCTGATGCTGATGCTGATGCTGATGCTGATGCTGATGCTGATGCTGATGATGATGATGATGATGATGATGATGATGAGGAGGAGGATGAGGATGAGGATGAGGATGAGGATGAGGATGAGGATGAGGATGAGGATGAGGATGAGGATGAGGATGAGGATGAGGATGAGGAGAAGGAGGAGGAGGAGGAGGAGGAGGAGGAGGTCGATTGCAGGGGGGAGGTGGGTATATGTTGTTTGCTGTTTGGCGCGGTGCTACAGTTATCGCTCGGCTAACCCCCCCCTGCAATGTATTCATATTGGTGCGGTGCTACGGATGACCCTGAGTTTTTTGATTCATTGCCTAACTTACCCCGACGGTAGGACCCCACATCGGAATAACCCAAACAGTAGGAGCCCATCCCGACGCTTAGAGGTCTGGTTGAGGATGGCTGCTTCGGATTGATGTCATAAAGTGCGGGTCCCTAGGGAGTGGGGGCCTGCGAGATAGCGATAGATTGTCAGAGGCTCGAATAGGAACAGCAGTTCTTCCTGGAGAAGGACCCAGCCATATGCAGGTGCGAGTGCCGCAATGCAGGTGGGACGAGGGAAGGGCATGTCCCCATTGGGGTCACGAAGCATGTGAGGGCTGTGCCGAAATGGGCGCGGTGCCTCCCTGCGGACGCTGCCACTGGGGCCTTCCGTGGAGCTCCCCATGTCGGGTGTTGCTAGAAGTGCCCTTGGCCCAAGGTACCACCGGCTTCTCGCTTCATTTTTGGGCCCTCTGGGACTCGTTAGGAGTACTCTGAAGGTCCTCTGGGTCACCCCGAGAATCCTGGGGGCACCTTGGGCCAGGGGCACTTCTAGCAACACCCGACTATGGGGCCACGAAACTTCTGCCAGGGGTGTGTCGGAACAGGTGCATCGGCGGAGGTTCGAAGAGGAAAACATCACCAGCCTCGAAATATCCTTGTCCCCAAGATTGACACGCTAAAAGGAGAAGACAATCTTAAGGATGCACCCTCAGAAACTGAGGAAATCCCTGAGATCGCCATCGTGATGAGGCGATGCCCAACATAGGGATAAGGATATGCTCCAGGCTGATAAAAAACAGGCAGCTCATACCCTGGCGAGAACGGGCGTGGCCGGGGAAGGGGGGGAGGCGGGCGGGGGGCCCGTATAAGCAACGCCACGCTCCGCGCCTGCGAGGCTTGAGGATGGCTGCTTTCCAACGGCGCCGCTGGCGCGAGGCGTGACGTGACCAGGCAGAAGACTTGTGTCGGGCGTGTCCCCCTACAGGGGGATGTTCGACGAACCATAAGAAATAGCCAAACAACATACCCCAAAGAGGCAAAGCCATATTCAGAAAATAGTCCCCATACTATGTTTGGAATCTTTTTGGTGTGTGTGTGTGTGTTTTTATTTTTCGTCGAAAATCCCCCTGTAGGGGGAGAGGCCCGACTTGACAGAAGAGGGGGGTGGCGGGGCGGGTCACGGGCGTGATCACGCATGATCAAGCAATGGGTTCTGATTCGGAGGAGGGACGTTTTCCGATGCCGCTGCTCGTCCTGGAGCTGCCCTCGATGCCATGGCCGGATGCTCCGCGACATGCTGGTCAGAAGGCACCCCGACAGAGGTTTGGTGCGTAGCGAGGGGCGGTAACGTCGGGGGCCCCCAGACGGTGTGGTGACCACAACGCGTGATGGGTCCGCGGGGACTCGTGGGCACCACGCGGTTCTGGGGCTTGAGTCGTTCTCCGAGGCTGTCCCGAGCGGTTGGGGCCTCCGAGTTCCCGAGACCGTGCGGTGACGGACCGCGCAGTGACATGGCATCGCTCGGACGTGTGCATTTTTTCTCGGCGAGGACCATCGAGGAGCATCCTTGATCATTTGGCGAAAAAACCACGCACGAACCCGAAAAAAACACAGGGAATGGACGTCCGAGCAATGGCCAGAGTGAGGTCATAGGTGATTCCGCAGTCGCCACGCAGTTTGTCACCACACGGTTCCAAGGGGCTCCGAAAAGCTGTACCGTACCGCCCCCCCTCTCCTCCACGGTCAGGGGAGGACAAGCCTCCCCGACCCCGTCATCGGCGCTCGCGAATTGGCGATGGGCGTTTGCTGCGCAGGCTTGCCGGGTGGCTGGCTTTTCTCAGGCGATCGCAAACATGGATCAAGGGGGCATGGACGGGCGAGGGGTCCCGCTTCCACGGGAAATCGCGGCTTTCCGCCGCCGAACGAGGCGGCCCCTGCCGCATCTTCCCGCATTTTGGGGAGGGCGCCTCCCCCGAGGAGGAGGAGGAGGAGGAGGAGGCGGAGGAGGAGGAGGAGGAGGAGGAGGCGGCGGAGGAGGAGGAGGAGGAGGAGGAATCGTGAATCCACGTTTGCGCGCCCCCACGATTTTCTGCTCTCTCGAGACAGACGCGTCCGCGCGCACTTTGGGGGCGTCGGCGCCGGGGCCCTCTGGCCTCGCGGTGGCGCGCCCCCCGTCGCCGCGCCCTGTGCGGTGTCCGCGCGCCAGGGGATGCCAGGCAGACATACAGATGTTGGAAGCTGGTGACACAGCGAGGGGTCACGTAGGAGCCTATAGGGGGCCACATGCGAACCCTACCCCTACCCCCCACAATTTCTGAGGGGGAGGGTGAACCCCACCAGAAATCGGGGGGGGTAAAGGTAGGGTGCATAATCACAGGTGAGCCAGACAGACATACAGATGTTGGAAGCTGGTGACACAGCGAGGGGTCACGTACTCCAGATTTCGTAATAAAAGGGAGGGGGTCTGAACCCTCCCAGACGAGGAGTTTTAGACCCTCCCAGACCATCCATGAGAGGGCGGCCCTTTGCCCAGACCCCCCCCCCGAACCCTCCAAGACAGCTCAAATCAGACCCCCCCAAATGTGTCCCCCCGACTTTATTATGGAATCCAGAGTACAGTGCCGTTTTTTATACATGCTCCGCGGGCGGATCATGTATGAAAGATGCAGGGATTTGGTACTAAAAACAACGATGAGCTCATGCATAAATTTATTCATACATTGATCATGCATTGTAAATCCTATATATTTTTTTTTTTCAAAATCCCATGTATTAAAAACTGCCCTGTGGGAGCATCATCACAGGACAGCTTGCCGCGTGGGCCCCACCGCCAGCCCAAACGGCGAGCATGAGTCGGGCGTAGCCCCGCACGCACTCGAATGCCAACACGTCGTCCCGCCCTCGTGCTACGTCCTCCCCGTCCTCCTCCACATCCCCGAACCGATGAAGCAGCGAGGGGCCACACAGAAGCATACCCAATCTGTGTGGCTCCTCTCGCTGTCTCATGGGATCCTCCAAAAAAAAATCATTGGGAATCCTCGCTGTTGAAGGCTTCTGTTCCCCCAAATGTTACTCTTCGGCCGGCGCCTGGGGCCCCCCTGGCGCCGCCCCCGTCGCCGCCCCCCGGCGCCTCGCGCGCCAGAGGAGATCGGGGGCCTTGAGACGGGGGTCAATGCAGACGGGGGTCAGCCAGGGCGCCAGATCCTGCAGGATCCTGCGAAGACCCCCTCTGGCTGACCCGGGTTCGCGAGCCGCTCGTGGCCGCGAGGCGGCCGCGCGTATTGGCCGACCCGGGTTTGCGAGGATCTGCGTTGCAGTTGTTTTTTCCTGCATTGCAGTTTTTGGTTTCCTGCTGACCCGGGTCTGGATTGACCTGGGTCAGAAGATCCCCGAGGAGAGGGGTCCAGCGCAGACCCCAGAGACCGTGCGGTCTTCCCACAGTCGATGCTCACAGTCCAGACGCTCACTTGTGGGACCGCCTTGGAGCGGTCTTTGGGCCCTCTCTTGGAGGGCGTTGGGGGCCATCTTGGAGGCCAATATGGAGCATCGGGAGGCCCTCTTGGAGCCATCTTGGGCCAGTAAAGGACCCTCTGACACCTCGCGGACCCCCCCCCCACGAACAAAAAGAACGCAGGCAGGGGAGGAGGCCCCGAAGATATTCAGGAGGGGAAAAAACACACAGACACAATTAATCGTCGACTCCCAGAAAGTATGAAAATATGAAAAGTAGGGGGGAAGACAAAACCCCAGAAAATATGCGAACATATGGGGAATCCGGTTGTTTGTGTGTATTTATTTGTGTGTCCCAGCGCCCCTTCAGATACATTAATAATCTGCGTCGTCAGACCACCTGCGCCCAGAGGGCTGGCAGGTGAGCACCTACCTCTTCGGGCTCGGGGGTGGCTTTCGTTTTCGGGCCGTTCCTTGGGTCTAGATCGGGAAACGTATTCGCGGCCGAGGCTCGCCGTGGCCAGAAAAGCCTTTCGTTCCTTGTTCGGCGCTTCTTATGGTAGCACGATGAGGGTAGGTGTTTCTGCTTCTCCTAGAGGCTCTTCTTCAATCAGAACGTCATTATGAACGACGATATCTCTTTGAAGGCGTACGGCATCGGCGACGGAGACCAGCTCAACCTGCGCATCCTCAAGCACGGCTCGCACTCCCACGGGGGCACGGAGTCGAGCTTGGAGCCCGGATCCCACGTTCAGCGCGGCGATAAGTTGGCAGGAAAGTACAGCGGGTGGACCCTCGCGAACACACGGCTCATCAAGCAGTGCCGCGACCCGCATGGCGAGGTGTACATGCAGCCGAAGTGGGTGACCTTTGCTCCACAGGCAAGCAAGCGCGCCTCCCTCGCTGCAGCCTGCTCCGAAGCCAGCAGGGGGCCGTTCGGCACGAGGTTGGACCACCCCATATACGTGAGAGACCGGGACGACAGCCACATGAGGAGCTTGCGATTGAGATTATCCGCGTATTGAAGAACACGTTTGACGGCCGTGTTCTTTTCGAGGTGATCGTAGGAGGGCCAGTTGAGTCAACGGCGGCCCTGCCGCCCAGTCCAAATCCGCTCCAGATTGGTCCCCGGACTCCTGGTGACGAGGAGGCCGGCGGGGCTGGGACCTGGACAAATCCGTTCCACAGCCCTTCAGAACGCTCTCGGAGCGTTCTGGATCACTCTGAGAAGGCTGCGGCGCCCGAGACATTGTGCAGAGCCGCCAGACCTGAGAGATGGTCGAGTCATCTTTGCCCGATGTTATATCCTCGTCCTGGCTGCGTCTTCAAAACCTCTTTGGAGGCCCAGGGATCCACCGCCAGAGTACGTACGTCCATGTCTCAGGAGGGGAAAAACACACAGACACAATTAATCGTCGACTCCTCAGAAAATATGGGAAAATTTGGGAAGTGGGGGGGAAGACAAAAAGCCAGAAAATATGAGAAAATATGGGGATTGTTTTTATTTGTGTGTATTTATTTGTGTGCCCCAGGGCCCCTTCAATGTCCACCACTCCTCGAGACAGGGAAGCCGTGGTCTCGACGGGCCCTCCGAGAGCTCGGTCGGCTGCCCTCCTCTTGGGAGGTGCAGGCGGTTGCTGCGACCAGTTGAACCGCGCGTCGCGCGCCCTCCGGCTGCCGGGGCCAGCTCCTTCGCTCGAGGAGGAGATCGAGCGCAGACCTGATCCACTCGGGCCGGGCGAAAGGGGGGGATTGGGAAAGGGGGGGTTACGAAATTTGCTGCATGCAGCTGGTTTCGGCCCCGCCGAAGGGCCCATTCCTCGATACATAGCCGCCTCCGGCGCCGGGAGGCGCCTGGAAAATCAGCTACGCGAGCTGATTCTCAAACCCCCCCTTTGCTATCCCCCCCTTTCGCCTGACCCGAACTTGGCATGTTCGTCGGACCTGCGGAAAACGTGCAGAATCATCGCAGGTGGGCGAGCATTCTACACATCGCTGGTAGAGGTCCAGCGGGGGAAAAAGCAAGCTTGGGGTGAATCTTCTGCAGTCGATCTCCTGCTCGACTCGTGGCTACGCTGCGCCCGCTTGGCAACCTTGACCACCCAACGCAGAGCTGCGCGCCGTTGTGCTAATCGACTTCTGAGCGCATGCGCGCAGGTCTGTCGAAGACGAGCGAAAACCGCATGAGCACAATCTTTGGTTGGCCCCCGAGGTTAATTTTTGGATCAGCGCTGTGCCCTCCTGGCACCGCCTCTGGCGCCGCCTCTGGCGTGCCGCCGCACGCCAGGGAGGGGGGCCCAGCAGCGATCCAAGAAAAAACCGCGCGGACCTCCGACAGGTTCTCTTTGAGCGGCTTGTTCTTCTACCGGTCGGTCAGCTTGCCGTAGGCCACCCCCAGGGACAACGTCAGCAGGTTTGCTGCTTCAGGGGGTGAGGCCTCGACCCCCGACGGCCCACGTCAGCGCCGACGGGTGCCTGATAGCCCACCCTGCCCAGGGTCGCCCGGAGTCGCCATCGAGGGCCCATCGTCAACCTATCGGCGCTGTATGCTGCATCGCCGATTCAAGGTCGATGTTTCCCCCGCTGGGCCAGTCCCCCGCTTCCGTCGTTTCCCCTTATATGCCCTGACCTCCCAGGAGGGCTAAGACATAGCGCCAGGACCTCAACATCTAAGCTCTTGTCGAGGCTTAGTCTATAGGTCGGGAGTGCTATGCTAGCACTCTGCGAGGTCAGGGCACTCGCTGGGGCGCGAAGATAAACTGCGCTTCGCGGCCCGGTGTGGCAGAGAGAGCTGCCCTTTTTCCTCCGGGGCTGCCGCGCTCGAGGGCGCGAATTTCGAGCGTGCCCTCGGCGCGGCGCGAGGCCTTGCCCTCGTGCCGACATCGCGTGGCCCCCGTGTCGCCCACTGTGTGCGCCACCGTGTGCTGGCACACAGTGGCCAAGCGCAGGGCCACCGTGTGCGGCACCGTAAGGCGAGCATGCCCTCGGTGACCTGGGCGCGCGCGCCTGGTTCCCTGGTCCGCCTCTCGGGAGAGAAAAGCACATTCATCACGCCTCAGTGACGCGCCGCCTGTCTGGAGCCCGTCAGCGTGCTGCCCCTTCGCTGTTTAGCCTGAAGGCGGGCTGATTCGTCCACGGCAACGCGCCAATGGCTCCCCACCGGCGGCGTGTCATTGATATTGCTTTTGCTCCTCCAAGCCTCTCGGGGCACTCTTGGGGCCTCATGTGAGCTTCTGGAGGGTCTCATGGGGGCTTTCGTGGACCGCCTGGGGGCCTTTTGGAAGCTTCTTGGAGGCTATTTGGCCGTCTGAGTGCGTTACTGGCCCGTCGAAAGCCATCTTTGTGGCCACTCTGTGCCGGCTTGGAGCTCTCTAGGGACGCTTCAAGGCCGTCTTGGAAGCCATCTTGGGCGTGTTGAAAGCCTCTCGGGCCGCCTCGGGGCTCTCTTGGGGTCGTCTTGGGGGTTTGTTGGGCCATATGAGGCCATCTTGGAGGCCGGTTTGGCGCTCTGTGGCGATCTTTGGGGCCGCTTGGGCCGTCTTGAGCCGTTGGAAGGCCGAAGAGAACCAAATGCCGAAATCCTTCAAACACTTATGAACAATCAATGAGTTCGGCCCCTGCGGGCCTTTCTCGATGACCTATTGGCCCGTCTCGGAGGCCTCGTGCGCCGTCTTGGGCCGTCTTGGGCCATCTTGGGCCGTCTTAGGTTCATTTTGAGCCGTATTGGTGATATCCTGCGGTCATCTTGGGCTCTCTTGAGGACATCCTGGCCGTCGTAGAGGCCATCCTAGCCGTCTTGCAGGCCATCTTGGGGCCATCTTCTAGAGGATGCCAATGGAGGACGAACTTGGCAGGATTTTCCGAGTGGCCGGTGCGATCGGGCGAGATCCCATCTATGAAACAAAAAAGAATAATCTAACATTTGGCACGCCGTCCACCCCTGCGGCAAGTCAACAGGGGGCGGCGGATCGAAGACGCCTACGGCGAATCACCGCCGCCCCCTGCCTTTGTGGAAGCGCCTATGTGGCCGAACGTTGAGGCCAGACCTGCCAAGCTATCGGACCATGTGTTCCCCGAATCGGTTTGGAAAGCCTTCGGGGAACACGTGGGCATCTAGAAGGTCATCTTGGCCGCCTGGAGGCCATTTTGACTCTTTCTTTCGGGCCTTCTTGGAGGACGTCTTGGAGGGCTCGTGGGCCGTCTTGGACGCCATCTTGAGCGTCTTGGAGGCCTCTTGGGCCGTCTTGGGGGCCTCTTGGGGCCGTCTTGGGCGCCTCTTGGGCCGTTCTGGGGCCATCTTGGAGGCCTCTTGGGCGATCCTTGGGCGATATTTGGGAGCTCTTGGGCCGTATCGGGCCGTCGGAAGGCCGAAACGAAGCAAATGTCAAAATCCTTCAAAAACCTTTGGACAATCACTCTTTTTTGCCTTTTCTGGCCTTCCTGGAGGCCCTCTTGGAGGCCGTCTTGGGCAAGCTGCGAGCCACCTTCGGCCATCTTGGTGAGCTCCTGGCCCGTCTGACGCCGTCGGAAGCCGTTTCGGAGGCCTTTCTGGGCCGACTTGGGGCCCTCTTGGGGTGCTCCAGGGCCGTCTTAGAGGCCATCTTGGGCGTCTTCGAGGCCTCTTGGGCTGTCTTGGGGCCCTCTTGGGGCCGTCTTGGGGGCCTCGTGGGCCGTCATGGGGCCATTTTGGAGGCCTCTTGGGCGATCTTGGGGCGACCTTGGGGGCCTCGGGGGCCGTCACGGGCTGTCGGAAAGCCGAAAAGGCGCAAATGCCAAAATCCTTCAAACACCTATGGAAAATCAATGATTTTGGCTTCGTCGGGCCTTCCTGGAGGACCTCTTGGCGGCCTCTTGGGCCGTCTTGGAGGCCTCGTGCTGGCCTTTTGGGCCGTCTTACACAATATTGAGGCCATCTTGGGCCGTCTTGGATGCATTTTGGGGCCATCTTAGCCGTCTTGGAGGCCATCTTGGCTGTCTTGGAGGCATCTTGCAGGCCATCTTGGGCCATCTTCGCGATTGTTTGAGGATGTCCCGAGCGAAACGGCCGTTTTGGGCATTGACTGATGCAGTTTCCGGGTGGCCGGCGGGACGTGCCGCAGCCCCAGGGGGAGTTTTTTTTTGGGGGGGGGGAAAGAACCAAAACCAAAGCCAAGGAGGGTTCAGCACGCCAGGCACCGTTGCGATGAATCGACAGGGGGCGGCGGATCTAGTTGCCTTCGTCCGATCCCGCCACCGTGCCTGAGTCTCGAATTAGAGTCTGCTGAGAGACCAATTGGGGCCACTTGTGAGGCCTCTTGGGGACCTCTGGAGCCTCCTGGAGGTCTCGCTGGGGCGTCTCGGGTGCCTTCTGAGGCCTCCCCCCGTGGACCTCTTTGGAGCTTCTAGGGGACCTGGAAGAGGCGGTCTCGGGGGTTATCTTGGAGCGGAGGGTTCCTGCTGTCAGCTCGTGCTCCCCCTCTTGAGCTCCTTTTGGGGCTGTGCTTGGGGCCTCCTGTGCCCCTCCTGGGGGCCGTGTTTGAATGATCTTGGGGGCCGATTGGGCCGTCTTGGACGCTAGCAAGACGGAACAATCAGAGCATACGAAAATCATACCACAATTCTGCGGCGGAGGAGGAGGAGGAGGAGGAGGAGGAGGAGGAGGAAGGTGGCCATTTTCTCGAAACTGGGGGGCATCCCCACCCACATGCCACCTTTGGAAGAGATCACACCACACGCTCACGTTTCAGCACAACGAATAGGGTTCAGGCGGCCCACTGCAAGGTCGCAGGCCACGTTCGGGCCAGAGGAGACGATGAAGAAGGCCCCCTTCCAGGTTCCAAACAGACGGAGCCGGAGATTCTCATGCTGTCGGACTACCTCGATACGTGCCAATGGTCGTCGCCGTCCGCTTGGGCTGGCTGCATCGCCAGGGCCCCTGCGATACTCCCACATCTCGGCCAATGCAGTATCGGTTCGCCGAAAGTCCAATTTAGAGTTCGTTTTTGCACAAACGGGCACGGCTCCACCGAGTTCGTCGCATTTGTTGGCAATCGTGGGCATGATCGAATCCATCCGAGCGTTGTTGCCTCGCCTCAGCAGCGCAGACAGGTCGATGTCATCGTCACAGCGATGGTTCTTCGGAGGTGCAGCTCTCGCTCGCGCTTCCAGTTGCTGGCGCTCACGCTCCTGCCGACGTCAGCGATAACAGGGGAATCCGTGGCGATGGTCCAGTCTTTCACGCGCGCGCAGAGTGAGCTGAAAGAGCGGAGGAGGCCAGCTTGGTCGACTGTCATTTGCTCCTGCAGCTTCTGGGGCATGTGGCGCCGATATTGGGCAGGGCGACGGCTGCCCTGCTGCTGGACCTGGCCCTCGCGATGGTGACGCATCGTTCGCGGACGTGGCGGTCGGCAGCCAGGCATTGGACGTCCAGCACTAGGCCCGCGCAGGGTTCGATCGCCCGGTAGCTGAGCAGGAGGCGGCGCGGCAGCGACTGCAGCGCGCGGCCGACAGCCGTGACCCTGACGCCATGCAGGCGGGGATCGAAGGCTGCCAAGCTGTCGGCCTGCCTGAGCAGTCGTGGAGGGCCACGAGCGCGCTGGAGCACGGCGACGCGCGCCATTCATTCGGGCGAAAGCGCGGCACGCTTATTCCTACCAAGGCGCCTTCTCACGGGAGCTCCGCTGCCGAGCATGATGACCTGGATCCCACGTGTGTTGGTATCGCGATTGCACCCGCCCTGTCGGATTTGGCACGCCAGCCCCAAGAGACCCGCAGTCAAATGAATATTCCGACGCTGACGCCGAGCTGGGACATGGCCCGCGACCCTGCGAGCGGCATGCCGTATTTCTTCAACCGACAGATTAGCGAGTCGCGTTGGCTGCCGCCGGGTGGTGCAAGCTAGACGCCTTGTCCGTTGCTGGACCCAGTTCGACTTCCAACTTTGGCACGCGATCAGTGATAGATTGTAGCATGTTACTTTTATCTGTCACTCAGCCACAAATCGAACAGAGGCCCATTCGACACAAGTTCGAATCGTGCTTCACACTGTCCAGGTAGCTGTGCAGATTGGACGGTTTCGGTGGCTTGTCGTGGATCGATGGTTTGTCTGGCCCCTGTTCGGCCTTCGTGGGCCCCCCTGAGCCCAAGCTCCCCCCCTTGCGGGCCCTCTTCTCCTCTTTTTCTTTGTGTCCCCTCTCTTGGGTGTGTGTGTGTGTGTGCGTAGGCTTCGGGGCTGTCCTCTCCCGGCGGCTCGTGGTTTCGGGGGTCGTCGTCGCCGCCGTGTCAATTTTGTCGTTAGTCATATTATTCCTTGAGCGGGGAGCGAGGTTGCAACCTATGCCTTAGAGCCGCGACCGAACGGACGAAGGAACGAACGAGGAGGAGGAGGAAGAGGATAATGAGGAGGAGGCACAGGATGAGGAGGATGACCTTCCCCACGACTGGGGGTCACCCTTCCACGTCGACGCGCTGCTCGTGGCGCCCTCGGTTCGCGGCGATTGGCCGTGGCGGGGGTCGGTCTTGGGCTGTCTGCGTGATTTGTTCGAGTAGGGTCTACAAGCTGTGTGTTCGAGTGGGGGATCGAGTGCGTACTTGGTATACCCATTTGTTTCGTCGGATCTCCAAGCGTTCGTATAACGTGCATTCGGCTGAGTCGCATCCGAATGGCGTTTCGCTGATTCCGCGAAATTGTTGTTTGGGAATTCCGGGGTATCCCTACGCGAGTTATAGTGGCCTCTGCGATGTGGAACTTTTTTGGCCAACCCCCGGGGCGTCCGACACTGTCCACGGTGCCCCCGAGGCCGGGAGCGCAGGCGAACGTCCAGCGCACGGGCCCCCATGTAGGGAGCACCTGCAGTTCCCGAACACAGAACATCCGGAAGGACTTGAAGGCACTCCACTCAGCGCCTGCGGCACGGTGGCGGATCATGTTCATCGTGTGCGTTCGTGTGTGTGTGTGTGTGTGTTTGATGTGTGTTCTTCCCGTTTGGCTGCTGGAAGCACGAGCGTTGGAATCCTCGTCCTCCCTTTGCCTCCCTCGTGTTGCTGCAGAGTAGGAGTGCAGGTGTGTCTTGGCGCGTTCGAGGAACTATTCGGGTAACACCAGATGAGCGTAGCGCGTCGCCCGAGCAAATTCAGATAGCAGTGTAGCATGAACGTGTACGCCACTAAGAGCGTGTGGCTGTCGTTGCGAACGCTGGCATATATACGTTTGCAGTTTGGGCGTTTCTTGGCCTTACACCGCTTCGATTGTGTCCGAAGCAGTTGTTTTTCTGACGCGTGCGGAATCGCTTGTTGGTCAGTGGACGCGGGCAGAGTTCGAGTCGGGCGAGCGCAAGCGCAAGATGTTCACGTGCAGACCTATGCATAGCAGCGATTTGCACCACAAGGGGAACGGCTGAGAGGGTTAAGCTAAATTCGAGTTTCGATAGAGAGGATGACATGAGACTGTATTGATCTAAGAAGCGTGATGCATTCCATGTTGCAACGGGGAAGTACAAGGTCCGTGCAAAGGAGAGATCCGTGCCCACACATGTTCGGGAGGCAATTGGAAGAGTATCAGTTGCCAGAGTTCAGGGGCCAGTACCTTCCTTATGAGGCCGCTTGGTCTGCTTCGTGTCCTTCTGCTTGCTTTGTCTGATGTGTATTGCGTCCCTTCTCGCTCAGGTATTGCGTTCTCCCGTCACACTGGTATGCTCCTGCATTGCCTTTATGATATTATGTGAACCTGTAACGTCCGAGTCAGTGAATGGATAGAACACAGGTCGTGACAATGGCAGAGGACGTGGCCAATCCGACATTGTTGCGTCTGTGACCCTTGGACACGCGCTTGTTGTTTTCAGTAGTGTTGTACGTCGGTCAGCACGCACAGGGGGGGGGAACACATTCCCCGTTGACGGGGCGCTGGACGACGGTCGGGAAAGACTACAAGGTACATATAGGCCATCGTCAAAATTTCTTGGAGCTCCGCGCAGATCCCTTGGATCGGCGCCGGACCCTTGGTGCGCGGCACGTGCCATAGTCGGCGCTGTAGGCGCCGCCAGGGGGGCCCAGCGCCGATCCGAGACATCCGCGCACAGCTCCGAAAGCGTACTCTGGGCTTCTTGATGAGCGTGGGGGGTACCCCCCCGACGGGGGTCAACCTGGCCTCGTCGTCGCGCCGCGGCGGGGGTCGGAGCGACTTCGGCGCGCAGTGGCTGCCCGCGACGGGGGTCGATGGCTGTCGGCGGCGGTGACGCCCCCCCGACGCTTATTTCAAGCAGAGGCGAAGCGTCCTGGCTCGCCTATAGCCCTACCAAACAATGTCCTGAGAACCTTGTGTGGATTCCACGAAATGTTCTTAGACCACTTCTGGACTGTCTTGTGTCAACACAGCGGCCTGATATTCTGAGAATATTGCTCTTGTTCTTGGAACATTTCGGGGGTTCTAAGAGCATGTCGTGGCATATGACTAGAGGAATGCCGGGACGGTCGGCCCCTGCTCAATCGTTAAGAAGCTCGGAGCCTGCTGGCGCGGCGTCTTTTTTTCCCGTCCCGCGAGAGGGGCCCAATGGCCGGGGGCGCCAGGCCGCCCGCGGGGGCGCGAGAGGTCCAGCGGCGCTCCGCGCGTCGCGGGCCCGGGCCAGGGCGGCTCCCCTGCTCCGGAGGCCTTGGCTTGGCGCGCGGGCGCGAGGGGCGCGAGGGGCGCGGAGCTGTGGGCGACACAGATCTTAGCGCGCTGATTGGCAGCGACCGCGATCTGTGTTTTCTGTAGGGGAGCAAAAAGTGGCATAAACATAGTAACTCGGAGGTCCGCGCGGATTTCTGCGATCGGCGCTGGACCCCCCTCCCTGGCGCGCGGAGCGCGCCAGGCGCGGCGCCAGGGGCGCCGCCTGGGGGCTCCAGCCCCGATCCGAGAAATCCGCGCGGACCTCAGAGTTTTTATATTTATATCACTTTTTGTTTCCCTATTCTGGGGCGACGGAGGAGGAGGTGATGCTCGTAGCGTAAGAGCAAACCTTAGCAGCCCAATCGCTGGCAAGAGCAAACCTAAGGTCCGAACTTGGCGCGAATGGGTGTCGTAAGGACTGTTATTGACGGATCAGGCGCGCCGGCTGAGCGTCTCGGGATCTGGCCCCGGAAACAGCGCTGCCCCCCGAGCGACCTCCGAGACACAAACGCCAACACAAATGAACGCTGGTGTTCGTGGGAGTGCAGCCTGGGACAGGCAGTCGGACAGGGAGGCGTGCCTTTCCCAGGAGGTGGCAGTCGCGTGCCCAGCAAAGCCCGAGGCGTGCCCACGCAGTGACGCCGGGCACCGCGCGCAACGCCGAGCCGACGTGGGCCGGGCGGTCTGCTGGGATCTTGCGACGGTTGGTGCGCCGGGGCGGCGGCCCTCCGTGCTCGAGCCACCTTGAGATGATATCCGCCCCATATTTTAGTAGTTTTAGGAAGGAGGGAGGAGGAGGGAGGAGGAGGAGGAGGAGGAGGAGGAGGAGGAGGAGGAGGAGGAGGGGGAGGAGGGGGAGCAGATTTCAGTAATTGTAAACTGTATCACGCTTGCATAAAACATTACACATGATAAGTGTAAAACATCTGCATTTGTGTAGATGCATAATGCATGTTTCGATGTATAACATTTGCATATTTGAGTGTCGGATGGGTTTCAACATTTGCATAAACTGTATGAGTGTGCACACCCGGTGCGTCCCGACGGCTGTCTTCAGCGGCCTCACAAGCTTTCAAAAGTGTCGCGAAGCCCTCGGCGCCGAGCACATCGACGAGTCTCACGCAGTCTCCACGTGACACGAAACCCTCGGCGCCGAGCAAGTCCGCGCGTCTCACAGGATCTGCCACGGATACCTCGGAGCCGAGCGCATCCGCGCGCCTCGCGCAGCCTCACAGTGCCACGAGACCCTCGGCGCCGAGCACTGAGCACGTCCGCGAGTGTCACGCGGCCTCCTGGTGCCACGAAACCCTCGGCGCCGAGCACATCCGCGCGTCTCGCATGACGTGACAGTGCTCCGAAACCCTCGGTGCCGCATCCGCGTCCCGCGGGGGTCTCAAAGAGCAATGAAGCCGACCGTCGCCGTCGCCGCCACCGCTGCCGCCACCGCTGTCGTCGTCGCCGTCGCCGCCGACATGGTCGTCGCCGTCATCGTCGTCGTCGTCGCCAAGCGAACTCAATCGTCGCAATCGCCGCCGTCCTCGTCCCAGCACGGCACCCCCCCCACAATCAATCACGGCGCGGTGCGGCACGGCACGGTATATTTCTCGCAGTTTGCAAACAAAGCGCGGCACGGCACGGCGAATGTTTCGCATTCTGAAGACCAAGCGCGGCTCGGCACGGCACAGTTCCGGCACATGCGTCGTGTTCTGTGACCAAGAACTATGTTTCTTCATGGAACAGATCACCCTAGCGCATGCGCTAAACAAGGGAATCGTCAAGCATGTCATGACGCAGGTTTGCAGTACATAAGCTCGCAACCATGTAGGACTAGGGGCGATGAAAGCAGACAACAGCATCCGAACCTTGAAGACGCCGCAGAGAATGCGGGCCCGACGCGAGCGCGGAACACATTCCCAATGATGTGCTCTCGAGCTGTACGTTGGCGATGGACGTTCGATCCATTTCCCTGCTGC